AAATTCGTGTGTTTGCAGAGCTAGAAGATACTCTTACTTAGTATACTCTATAGTATACTCTTCAAATCTTAAGAAATGTTGTAATTTTTATGTAAAAATGTTAACTTTAACGGTAAAATTAGAAATTAGCATGCTTTAGGGGGGCCATCAAGACGAATTCAACGACCTGTGGCTCAAGGTCATTCAAGGTCGAACTTGCAGGGAAACGGAGAGGTGCGATTGTTTCATTGGTACTTTGGTACGCGTTCGAAACGATCACTTACTTCAACGCACTCAACAATTCTCAACTGTTCTCCAACTTCGCTCAACGTTTCAACGTTCATCTCAGCTCGAGCCTCGCATGTTCCGACTTTCGTGTTCTCATCTTAGCGCGAACGGTAACGAAAGTGAACCGACCATCTCGCGAAAGAGCACGGTGATGCGTGAACACGTTTATCTTCGTTTCATTGATAACGACTTCGACGTTGTCCGAGTAACTCCGACATCGACACACGTTGCGTTTCGCTGTGAACGTTCGGAGGCACGAACCAGAGTACAAATAAAACGATCACGTTTCTCCGTTTCCCTGCGAGTTCGACCTTGAGTGACCTCGAGTTATTCGTTGAATTCGTTGAAACGCATTCGATGGATAAGAAACGTGTTTCATTTGAAAAAGTGAACAAATTCAAAGTGAATGAAATCAAGTTCCTTAGTGAGAAATGTTCGTTGGTTTGAAAATGAATGAACAATCGGCGCTGAAATTTCGCAGGCGTACAATGTGCTCGATCGGTTTTGCTCGGCGCATCAAGGAATGCTCCATGATCTCGTAAAAATTCTATTAGGCTAGTTTCCATCGCATCCTGAGTCACGAGCGCGTAGAAATCAAGGAAAACGAAAGTGATGAGTACGCAACGGTCTTTTGTTCTCGCGTATTCGGCCGAAGTTAATGCGATCTTGTCGGAGGAAATTTCTTGCCGGTGATTTCCGCGGATTCTGGTGTGCAGCGTGATGGGGATTTTATGGGGTTTATCGAATGCCGAGCGAGAAACTATTGGCAGTGAAGCTGTTGGAACGTTGGATTCTGAGCAGCGATCGGTCGTCGAGCGATTTTTCGTAGTAATTCGAACTTTAGAAATGTTTAAACTTTTTATAATTTAAGTATGTTGTGTAAGATATTGTGTAGAACCATAATTATATGGTTTCATGTAGTGGTTTTGTATGGTGTAATACTGAATTTTAGAGAATTTTATGGTATCGTTCGAATTTTCTGTCTGCACTTCGATTCGATTAAATATTGTTTAATAATGTTCTAAATGTTTAAACTTTGTATAATTTAACTATATTGTATAACATACTCTGTAAAACCATAATTATATGGTTTGCTATGATTTTGTATGGTGTAATACTAAATGTTAGAGAATTTTGTGGTATCGTTCGAATTTTCTATCGTTGCACTCGATCTGATTAAATATTTAAAACATTATTAAACAATATTTTTTTAGAATATCAGCTTTGTATAATTTAAGTATATTGTGTAACATACTGTGTAAAACCATAATCATATGGTTTGCTATGTTTTTATGTGGTTTTCTATGGTATAACACTAAACTTTAGAGAATTTTCTGGTATTCTTCGCGAATCAATATTACCATTTTCCCGAATTTTGGACAATTATCATAATTAATTCCATCATCATTACTGAAAAAATTGAAAAGTCGATAAATACACGACTAAACTTAGGAAATCATTCTCGGAAGTTGTCTCTTAAATCATTGCAAAAGGAAAACATCGGGAATGGGCCATTTTGAGCTGTCTAGACAAAATTTCAGTTTTCTGGACGAAGCTCGATAATTTAAAAAATATAAGTGTTATAAACAAATGTTTCAAACAAAAACTGTAGGATATAGATCTATATACATGGTGGTCACATTATTATTCACTTTATGGGGATACTATCAATTTTTTCCCATGATAATGAACACTTCGTATTGTACATTCCAACGAAGTATAAACAGAAAAACGGAATTTCTTCATATAAAATTGTCATTTTTTCAATGAAAATCATTTGGCATAGCAGAAATTGTTTAACAACACACTGGGAACCTCCAACTTTCGTCACACGAATTTCATTCGCACGGAAACGCTGATTACAGCGAGCAAACGGAGGAGAGATCAGTCTAAACAGAGAAGCCTCGGCGAAAAGATGGCGTGTCAACGTGAGATTTCTATTTGTTATCATATTTTTTAACGAATGGAGTGTTGGCCAACTTCTCTGAGTGAGAAAGCAAATTCTCGTCGATGCAACCGCTTCATGAATATACACCAGATTACAAATGTGCGTAGCCTCGATTGGAATTACAAAGCAGTGCTTCGAGATGAGAGCAGAGAATCATTTGTTTATTAACTACAATGTTTTGTTGTATTTTAGAATTGAACCGTTTCGTTGTTGACAGTGTGACTATAATTGTGGAAGCGGTGCAGTGCAAATTTAAAAATGAGTTTTTCTATTATTTTGGATTACATTTTTAATTAAATTAATTATGTATATTTTTTAATATTATCACTTAGACCACTGTCATAATTATGGGCACGTAATGGTAAACTTTGTTATTTGTAACTATGTTAGGTTTGTTGGAAAAATATTTTTGAAAATGTTCCTTGCGCTTTTAAATCTGGTTTTCCTATTGTATGCAGCCTTTGTGAATGGAATCTTTGTTGAGTTATTAGTGACAACTCATTAGACTTAAATTTCATTCAAAGTGAAATTCAAGATCAGAACTCATTGGAAATCAAATTTTATTCAAAGTCAAAATCAAGATCAGAACTCATTAGAAATCAAATTTTATTCAAACTCAATCAAGATCACAACTCATTAGACATTAAATTTTATCCAAAATTAAATTCAAGATCAAAACTCATAAAACGAGGTTTTTTAATTTTCACAACTTAGTATACGAACTGAATAGGTATCGAAAAGAAAAACATACACTAGAATATGCTATACCTAGTTTTATATTTATAAACAACAAACTATGTCCCCACTGTTAGACATTTATTTATTTATAAACTTCTTCATACCAGCTGCCTCTTTAATAAATTACAGTGAACGCCAAATTGCGTTTAGATTCCCTTGCAACTTTTATGAAACGTAATACGAGTCTTGCTTCCAGACACCTATTCAATTGGCTGCAGTAAGAATGCGTTTCCAGGTTACTTCTTCATTCAATGTAACAATATGTACTTCCTACGATTGTATACTATTCTAATCCAGTAATCGCACTGCAATACTGTCACTACGTTATAGTGATTGGCTGAAAAGTATGAATAACCAGATGTAAACCGCAGATTGCGAGCATTTATTGCACTTTCAGCTGTACAGAATGAAACGCGCCTTCTCACACATTAATGAAAGTTCCATGGGATCATTAATTTAACGGGTGCTTTAATTAGGGAAATAAATTTTCCACTGATTCTTCCTTTTGCAAGACAATGCTTGTGTGGAAACAGGGATTTGCGTAAATGTACATTGTCTAATCATTGAATAAAGATGTTCAGTTGAATAGAAAAATGATGTCCATTTTAATCAACTTTTGCAAGTTGATAGTACATGCATCTATAATGAACTGTATTAAATATCAAGTGTAAATATTTGTTAACTCAAGAGATATTAATATTTAAAGTTACATACTTTTTTATGTATTTTAATCTCAAACAAATTTCATGTAAAAGTGGTTGGAAGGGAGGCATAAGTGATTGAACAGTAATCTGTGAGGGTCCTAGGATCGATTCCTCTATTCCTTGAGAATTTTTTTCTTCTTTTATGTTTCAGCAGAGTGAAAGTGTACATAATTCTGGATAATTATCATACACAATTAAAACAAATAAGCATACCATGAATACATGAATAAATAATTGTGTACATAGGAAATAATCTTTTGTGTATTCGTAGAATTATAAGAGTTTACATTTTTAACAGGATAAAACATAACAATGTAAAAAAAAAATTCTCAAGTAATAGGGGATCGATCCTAGGACCCTCAGATTACAGTCTAATCACCTAATCACTCCACCAACTGAATTTACAGAAACTCGGCTTGAAATTAATCCACATAACCAACTATTAACATCTCTCACGTCAGCAAATAATTACACCTAATATTTAAAAATTTCACCATCCCTTCAGAACAACAGAATTAAATAATTCAATTCATAAACAATCTCAGTTTCACAAATATAGATTCCACTAGAATTGTTTAAACTGCCAAACATCAATTTCACTAGTAGTATCATAAATTTTCTATAAATTCATTAGAAACCACTTGGAATGATTTTCAAAATTCTCCCTCGCAGTTCCATCACTAAATTACCCCCTATTAACTCAATGTTAACCCAATTATCAATTTCACACGACA